TATCTTATCTTATCTTAATAAAGGAATATCTTATTTTATGTGAAATGTAATGCAGCCTCCTCGACACTAGGGGGCGCTCCAACCCGGAGTCAGCTGCAGTCACCTTGCTGTGCTCCAAGTCTAAACGGCTCAGCTAACTACTTCCGGGAGTGTTATTATCAATGATTTTGTCACTTTTGTGAGATTAAAACACTACCCGGGTGTTTGTCTTTTGTTGTTGTCAAAAAAATGTCGTACAACTACGTGGTAACGGCCCAGAAACCGACGGCAGTCAACGCCTGCATCACGGGTAAGTCTGCGCTGCGTGTTGTTGTGCAGACGTTTACCACCTGCGTGTTAGCCGAGCTCCCGCGCTGCAACTACGGCGCTCCGCACGGGCCTGTAGCGGCCGATAGCTTTCATTTCACCAACTCAAATGTTTACTTGTTGGTCGAAGCACACTTGTCTGCATGCAGGTTATGTCACACACGGTTTTTTTTGTGTATGTATGTTTATGTCCGGGCTTGTTTAAAACGCACATACGGATCAGCTTCTTTTGGATCTAACGTTAGCTGTTGTCGTGCCTAGTTTTGGTTAACCCCCCCCTTCCTCTCCTCCTGGTCAAATGCATTTCTAATAAACATGATCATATCGCCACACAGCTGATGGTAAACTGTGTGAAACATGCAGGCAGAGTGTATTTTTCTGCAGATAGTTCCTCCCTTGGAAACCGGATCAGAAACCTGGTGTCGTCGTTTCTTCTAACGTGTGTGGGCCACAAAATGCAGGATACGTACAAGAAGATACCGAAACCAAGACTTTTGGTGGCATTATTGAGTTAATATGAACCTATTTCACATTGCACGAGGTCCCAAGACTGTTTGGTCCTCGGAAAATCACCATGTTAACACCGAGATCGGTAAACTGGCTGTGCTCCACACAGGTTTATCATTCTGCAGGAGCTTGTGAAATTACGTTAATCCCTTTTAATAAATTCCAGTCCCTTATGACAGGCGTAGTGCAGTGTGAAGGCATCATGTGTTGTCCTTGGGTTGATATGGTTCCTTACGATCATGTCCTTGGCCTGTTTGTGGTATAATATGTTACCTTTCTTGTCTTGTCTTGTCAGGGTGTCCTTGTAGAAGAGAGATCGGTCCTCCCTGTTTAAATAAAAGTTATAATAATTATGATTATAATAACAATTCTGGTTCGTATGACCACCTTTCTACCACTTCTATGACTGGGCCTAACACTATGGGTGTATAGTGGCTTATACTACTGTCAGGAGCACATAGAGTATAGAAATACAACACACATGAACGACATCATATATACTGAAGGCTTTGGTTACTATAGGGTTTATTGGCCCCACACAATGGTTCAATATTTGGAGGAATCAGAATGCAAACAATTTGTATTGTGCAAACTGAATAGTAGTAAAAACAGAACTTCAAAACAATTTTAACATTTCTAATATGCTTTGAAATAGTTGTATAAACACTTTAAACTGACAAAATGTTTAAGTGTTCGTGTTACGTGTCTATTGCATGAGTAAAAAACGAATTGTTACACTTTTTTTTGCCCCGTTGAAGAGAGTTAGTTGTAGGTTATAACCGTCAGTAAGAAGGGTACGCAGTTAACAGAAAATTCATACCAAACACAGGAAATTAAAACCGGTATACTGGTTCATACGGTATGTTGCTCACTAACAATAATGTTGTATTTTACTTCTATGTAACATTAAGCTTAGAATTTGACATGTAGCTCCAAATGAGATGTTTTAACTTCACCTTCCTTGAACCTTTTAACTCTCTTTGATACTAATGATATGATTATAAATAGGTTGCATTCTCCATCTCTGTATGAAAAAGCTTCTCCACCGGCCTTCATCGTACTCCACAAATTATTATAGTGATATAGATGTAAATTTGTGTGTTTAGTGTTTAATATCGCCACACTATCAATGGTCAAGAAAACTGGGATTTTTTATGTTGTCAGTATATTTCTCCAGTCCCATCACTGATATTTATCCACCTTTCTGTCGAGCTACTATCACCTAAACAACAGTGTAATAATAACGTTATAAATGTTCATCTACAGGTCACTTCACCTCTGCGGAGGACCTGAATCTGCTCATAGCAAAAAACACAAGATTGGAGATCTATGTGGTCACAGCAGAGGGGCTGCGGCCCGTCAAGGAAGTGGGCATGTATGGAAAGATTGCTGTCATGGAGCTCTTCAGGCCAAAGGTTTGTGATTTGAGGGTGTGAGGTTGGTAGCAGTGTGTACCAGTTTCTTAAAATGAACTAGTTGGTGTGCTGTGGAACAACTGCTCAACTACTAATTCTCACTGAAGATCTATGTACTGTTTTATATTGTTTTGCTG